CAAATGGATGGTGGTCACACATTTTCTATCGAACTGAACGTACTAATGGGGAACAAATGGAGCATTTAATCGCGTTTTTATTGTTTGTTGTCATCCAGTATCGTATGTGCATGATTTATATCTGTTAATTTCACGAGTTTTGTTCATTCATAGCGGAAAAGCCAGTGTAAATATTTTACATTCTGATAAAACGTATAGAAGATCAATATTAGTTTTGAAATATTTCCCAATACTCGCAAATCAAGTTATTGAATTATTATAGACTGTCCATTCATGCAAGTAAATGCATTCACTTACAACTAATACAAATAACGTCGAAGGTTGATTTCAGAATATTATATGTATACCTATAGATATCATATAATGGAACGATGATACAACATTCCCTATAGTACAATATAAAATATATGAATGTTTATATACGTATAGAAGTTCAATTGAAATACCTAAATGCTTCTGCGTACATTATACATGTTTTGCTCATTCCTATTATTGTTTTACATTGGTGTCATATAGATACTGATATAGGGGATAAAATAATAAGATGCATGAATAATTCATATATATATATAGGTTTATGAAAGTTGAAAGTGTAAAATTCATTATACTCAATTTAACTATATAGGAAAAAATTCATGGAAGATATAAACTGGAAATGGTACTGAAATATTTTCGGTTAAAACAATGTACCTATATCAATCTCTATATACATAATTACCTAACTGATTTATATATACACATTTACTCAATCTAGGAAATCGTAATGAATTTTTATCATTCTTGTATGTATGACAGATTGATATTCATCATACAGAATGTGGAAAAAAAAAGTTCTATATAAAAATAACAAGTTTCCATCGTTCAAGTTTAAACCCCTCGATTGGGTGAAAGAATTTAAAGAGAATATTCCCAGATGAATTATGAACATGCAAAGAAAAACATTGAGAAATCAATCTTTTCATGTTCATAACTTATCAGAGAATATTCCTTTCCAAGAATGTTTATCAGTTAAATGTTACTATAATATCATGGGAAACCATATTCCAGAACACTATATGAGATCTCATTTGTTCTTGAATCTCATACTAAATTTAGATAGTATATCAAAATTCGGTTTTAGTGGTTTCTGTGGCATCCCTTTTTAAATTACTCAATTATTATTCAGCGACAAAAAGATTAGAAACGAGAAAATTCCATGGGAACGAACACTCTTAATCACAGTTTTACATCCAATAATATACCTAATGCACCATAGATATAACCGAGTTATAATTTTAGCTATATATAAGTTTCTGAAAAATCGATGAGTGGTCAATAAAAGATTAAATTCGGGGTGAAGCATCCCATAGTTTTATATAATAATAATTGATGGCATCGGTACATTGAAATTAGTATATTTAGGTATGTCTATACCATGCATTTCATCATGAGTTATTATTATTAGCATTTGAAAGTATTTTTTTGCATGCAAAATATTAAAGATTTTATTCCGAATGAGAATCAGTATTGCGAAAAGTGCTGCTTTATTCCTCTAAAAATGGTAACATCATATCATTCAAAATATTTTATTATATATATAGGCAATATTCGACTGATTTTAATTCTCATAAATGAATACGAAGAACTATGTTTCTATTTTTTTTGCCATTGCCAAACTTCAAGTTGTTTCCGTTATCAAATCATACAGGGTGAGTGACAAATTCGCTTCTCGCACCATTAGAATATTGCGTATAAATCGTATGAGGGATCCAACAAGGTTTTGCTTAAACGTGGTCAATGTTATTGAGAATTCGAAAGCTTGTTGGTCCATTTGAGGAGATCTATAGATGATTTGGGTTGAATCTTCATATGTTTAACTCAAGATTCTATATTTGAAATTGTAATAAAACACCCCTTTATATAGGGTGAGTCAGTTTTTGTAGCATCAGGACTTCAACAGTTCAAGGAAAATTTTAAGATAAAAACCTCATGTTACCATATACGCGTATATAGAAGCCCGTTTTCTGATTTGCAGACGGTGTGATTTTTTTCATATTTGCATGTTTTTGTGTTCCTCTAATTTTGCCACTGAGTTTTTTATTCAATTATATCAAGAGAGATGTCAATGTAGGATGCATATATACATATGGAGGACGCATGCTCGAAAAATAAACTGTTAATGTCAAATATTAGTGTTTATTGACATTTATTTCGAAAAACATATACAGTTGCCGAAAAACAGCATAAGACCAAAAAATATCCAAATAAAAGAAATAATCTGAACTAATGTCTCATTGAAAACAGAGGCAGCACGCAAAACAGGGTCAAATTGCGGGTATATTCCAACCCCAAAAGTGTATCATCCTGTAGGTGACAAAAACGCCTCATACCTCTCAATCATTATAATGGAAACTATAGGAGAGAACTTAAAAAACCTCGAACTTTGACTCCTACACTGATATAGTAAATGAAGCTTTCATGAACGCATGAAATTTTCATATTGAATGTGTTCTTCAAGCTGATGTTGAAGTCCTACCACAAAAAACAGACTCACCCTGTAGAGACGAGCATAGACAAAACCTGAAAAATCTAGAGAAATTATCATTCCACGTCTTCAATTAGACTATATACAGGGGCATGTAGGGTGTCCCAAAATATGGCAATTTAACGCATCTTACCTCTATACCAAGTTGCTTGCCAAAGGAGTTATAGGCTTTGAAAGTGAAGTTATAAATTTTGAAAAAAATCAATATCTCCGTTATTCTTGAACTTAAAGCAACCAAATTTGGTACACTTTGTGGATGTATTTATGTCGTTACTTGACAGTAACTAGAGTTTAATTGAAATTTGTAAAGGGGGTATACCGGGTGGCGCACCATTAATATTCAACAGAATTTTGTTAACCCTTGATGGATTTAAAAATCTTTGCTTTGTTTCGTAAGCAATTCAATTCTAAAACTTTTCTTGAAATAGTAATTTCTCGAAAAACCTCATCATTTTCATCAAAAACTCTGATAACTGAAAACGCGTGCTCTAGGTGTGTTATTTAAAATCATCGAAAATTCAAAAGTTGACTATGAAAATAAACGTCAAACTTGACAATGAAGCAAGTAAGTTGTTCAATTGAGTAATTTATCGATAAACAATTGTTTGTTCTAGTTCTTGTTTAAGTTTTTTGTGTTTATTTTGGTTAGTTGTTAATCCCAGTTTTTCACATTTCAGTATCTGTACTCTACGTATCTAAATGATAATTTGCCAGCCAATTTCTACTGATCACAATAAATGACCTACTTTCTTGTTGTACGTTTATTTTCATAGCCAACTTTTGAATTTTCGATGATTTTAAATAACACACCTAGAGCGCGCGTTTTCAGTTATTCGAGTTTTTGATGAAAATGATGAGGTTTTTCGAAAAATTACTGGAATAAGAAAAGTTTTAAAATTGAATTGCCCACACAAAGATTTTCGAAATCCATCAAGGGTTAACAAAATTCTGTTGAATATTAATGGTGCGCCACCCGGTATACCCCCTTTACAAATTCCAATTGAACTCTAGTTACTGTCAAGTAACGCCCTTAATACATCCACAAAGTGTACTAAATTTGGTTGCTTTAAGTTCAAGAATAACGGAGATATTGATTTTTTTCAAAATTTATAACTTCATTTTCAAAGCCTATAACTCCTTAGGGAAGCAACTTGGTATTTTGGGACCCCCTACATGCCCCTGCTCTATGTGGGTTCTTATGTGAATCACCCTGTATATACCAGTCAACACATCGGTGACATGGCATCTCAAAGACGTCGCGTTTATACAGGGTGTCCCATAAGTCATGGATCAAAAGGTGTGGGGTGCGGTAGACCACACCATGTTCGGGAGAACTTTTTGATGTTATCTAGCAGCACATCGTAGGTTTATCACAAAAACACATGGCTTATAGATATTACATTTTTAGCTATATCCATACGCCATAAAATTTTCGTTAATCCGGACCTGAATTTTTCTCGTCACTGATAGGTAAGTCGCTTGAGTAGATGAAGAAAAAACTATGTACCGAATTCCAAAAGAATGTACTGGGTGGTTCGTAAGTCATGTCGTCACAAAGAATTGAACAAAATTGATTAAACACCCTATACACAGTGAAACATTTTTTGGGTGTAATTTCAACCGAGTGGATTTCAGAAATAACGATTGAATCAACACTTGAATAGCAATATTATATCAACATTATTAGAAGTTTGATGATACCGTGTACAACTGTACAGTGGTGTCAATTCACACCTTCACAGTGAAAAATCACACGGATGTGGTAATTTAGAGGGATTCTGAAATATACATCCAAAAGAAACACCTTATTTAAAAACTAAAGTATTGATGTTAGAGAAAAAGTTACCTAGATAGTATGTGGAACTCGACTGGTGCTACCCAGAACTCCGCGATCCGAACTTTAGAAAGTGGTGAATGCTATACATGAGCGTTAAAAATAGGAATAACTTTGTTATTTCTCCGGAACTATCGTTGAAATATATCAGGAACTCCACAAATCTTTCAAATACGTCGAAATTTCTCATCAGAACTCTTTCCTGTGGAGAAAAGGGGCGCCGCGTGAAGATAGCACCCACAATTTTGTTTTTCGGTTATTTTCTACAATTAACCAGAACTATTCAGATATTTTGTCAGGAATTCCAGAACTCTATCGTATATACCCAGAACTGCAATAAAAATTTAGTTTTTCAAAAAAGTCGGTGCCAACTTCGCATAAGTTTTTATACTTCACTGAAATAATCAGGACCTCAGGAGACACCCAAGGGTGTTAGCTGGTGTGAACTGATGTTGTTTTTTTTTCACTGTGTATATCTCGGATCGAGTCTCGGATATAAAACTTGTACACAAGACCCTACAAATATCGTATATTCAGAACCACCTTGATGAGCTCTACCCATGCACCTTCGAAATGTTCCCGTTTCCCAATGGGAAAATAACCCTTCAAAATCGCAACCGAAAATCAAGAACTGAAACTCACCACTCAAATCCGGCAGCCTCGGATAGAACATCCCCGTCCTGGCGAACCACTCCAGCTGCATCTGGTGCAAATGGTTCTGACCATGATGCCCCACAGGCAAGTGCACCTTCTGCACCATACCAGACGCGTCCAGCGAATGAAAAGCAGACCCCTGGCCCTGATGGTGCCCCTGGTACCCGTAGAACCCCCCACCATTAGGGTAGATGTGGTTGAGCAGCCCTGGCCGAGGCACGAAGGCAGTCGTTGGCAGGTCTTCGCTGCCCGGGGAAATCGGGGGGCTTCTAGACCTCGTCGAGCCGGGGGATATGCTTCTGGAGGTCGCCGGAGAATGGGGTTCGGTCCTGGACAGCAGCGAGTCTATGCAGAACGAGGGTTTGCCCTCCTGCTGGATCTTGGTGTCCATGTTCAGCGGCTGGCTCTGGTTGTGCAGCGCCAGTTCGTAGTGGGCCATGCTTCAGCCACCTGTCACTCACGAACTAACACCGACGCATCGAGAGAAGTGTCAATTAGGTGCGCGGCGACTGTGTGCCTCCTAGATCGAGCGAACGATTTGCAATGTATTATACTGATAATACGGAACATTACAGAGACATTAGAAGTATACATTACGGCTGTGCGCGTCGGGAGAGCTGTGTGATTGGCTGTGTGATTGTTGGGCCACGCCTCCTACCCTAATGTTAGGAGTTAGTTGCGTGGCAACGCTTGTGGGGTACTTTTCATAGGATTCGGGGCTTTTTGATTGTCAGGTTAGAGTGTTGATTGCGAGCGGCGAGAGCTTCTTTTTTGGCGATTTGTTTGGATTGCGTCGGCGATATACGGATCGGGATTTTGGCGGCGTAAGGCGATGGCTCGAATAAATAATAATGTACGGGGGGTCACACCTTTTTCAATAATTATCATTGAACCATTTATCTTTATTTTGTTGTATGTATATGTTTTTGAAATAAGTACATATAATCATCACATTGATATATATGATACAGTCTAACGAATATTCCCATGATATCATATTTTTACTAATTCTTCTAATAAACAAGAAATTTCATCCCCAAAATTGAAGATAAAACGAGAACAAAGTACTTTAAAACAATTTAAATGATTGAGCCTTACACATGAAAATTTGAACAGAGGTGCCGTCAGAATTGCTACAGTGTGGAACTTTGGGTGGAAAATGGGGTCTGACCTCAAATTTTATTTTGATCTTCATATTTTTTATTGGTATATACCACTCGATAGTTTACGTCGACCTTACTCAAGGCTTGGAATAATTGCACTTATTTCAATATCACCCTGTATATAGGTACGGAAAAATAATTTTTATACACTGTAGAAAATTCCTTTGAGTGGATGCATCATATAATATGTGGTTGTGATTGAATTTTCTGATTTAAATTTTTGAGTGATTTCTCAATTTAAAATAAGTAGATATTTCATCAAGTTTTCCTATCAATGAGAATGTTTATAACAAATTTGATGGAATCGGCTCATAAATTTCCATTTAACACAGTCAAGTATAGGGTGAAATTTCAACTCGATCGGACATGCGTGGACATTCAGTGAAAAATTTCACTAATTTTTTTTTTCAGTGTATTTATATATTTTCCATACTATGTGTCCATGGAGGGCCAGTTTCTTGGCAACTACAAGAGATACGTATATTTGGTTGATTGGGAGGAAAGTTGCACAACTGCAAAGGACTCCGGAAAATGTGCGATATAATTGTTCGTTTCTGAGATATTTAATAAAACTGAATTCCTGTATTTCCAATTTCATTTTTTTTTGGCACTGATAATGAGGTTAAGACAAAACTGAGAAAATATCTTCATGGTCACTTTTGATGCTGATTAATTTGACATTACTTATAGGGTTTCATGTCCAAGGTTTCGTCGAAATCAAAAGGGCTATTTTAATCTGATATCAAGATATCAGGACCGTATTGAAAAAAATGAAGTTGATGATGATTGCTCAAAGACGTAACTTATCAGAAAATGGATAATGTCAAATTGATTGACATCAAAAGTTGCCCAGTAAAAAATAAAATCGAAAATCTGGAAATCACCCCTTGCAGTTAGGAACCGTAGTTATAGGAAACACTCTGTGTATGCAAAGTCGTATTTTTCTCATCATGCTTATGTTTTTACATCACGATCCATGGAAATCAGGATGGACTAATAAAAATGAGAATAAAACTGACTACATTTGTGACGTGTTGTTGGCTTCAAAATGCGTCATTGTCGATCGAAATAAGTAAATATATATATAGGATATCCCAATTGAAAATCGAAATTTGGGGTAATTTCCGGTCAAACCTGAAGTACGGCAAAGGGAGTAAATTATAAAAAAAATTGAATTGAATTATAAGACACAACCCTCACGTTTCCTTTATCTATATCTTCAATAATAAAAAAGTTATGAGCCACGTTAGAGATTCTCCCGGTGTAAGTATAGTAGATAAGTTCCTTTTGAATGACGAGACACAAGAAATTATGTTTTTAGTTGGAGCTTATATTGAAGCTTCAAGATTGCTATGAGTATTTTTTTAAACAAACCTTTAATGTCGAGTTTAATGTGGACAGAATGTTGGGTGATGTCTCTAGGAAGTCTTCAATCTTTGTTTAACCGATTATTTGAAAAATTGGCGGCTTCAGCATCCACATCCTATAATGAGCAAATAATTCATTACTTGATTATCTTAGTGCGGTGTACCAATTCCTGACGGTATGGCAAAGTCTATATAATCAACGAACCAAAGAAAGTCTGATAAAAATAATAAAATCCAGGAATCACTGATAATTATTACTTAGTGTTTATATAACACCATTGGCGTATACATATATGTATGAAAATTCCCACCCGAACAATCAACGTACTATTCCAGCTCTGAAGTAGGCAAAAATTTGTTGTTGCAACAAACTAGATTATCCAATGTTTGAAATATGCCTTCGAATTTGAAAAGAGCACAAGACATAGGAAGAATGCTGTTCTAGCATTATTTTCATTCTTCTGATGCCTATACAATTTCATTGATAAAATAATAATGAAATTCATATATAAAAGTACGAACTATACTTCCTATTATTCCAAATTTTTTGGGAGTTTCTCTACTCTTTTCTATAAAATGGAACTATGAATATTATTTCAATAAACGTGTAGTAAATGTAGAAACTTCACAAACGATAAGATTTCCACAAAATTTTAAACACACAACATGATATACAATGGGCGTGTACACCTTATAGTGGAACGTTTAACTCAAACCATGTTTACAATGATCCTTTCATACATAAATAATGATTGATGACATAATTCGATCAAAAAATTAACTGAAATGTTTTATTTTTGGACATAAATGATAGTACCTTCTGAAAACGGACCCTCTTATGACGTAGAAACCTCATCTCGCCATAGTTAAAACTGACACTTATCACTGTTGCCATATCATCCAAACAAAATATATCCGAGAGATCGAAATAGATATTGAAATATCTTTTGATATCCATTACCACTACTGCAGAAAAATATATTCAAGTTGTCGATTGTAGGTTGAATCATTGGAATATAAACAATCTCTAGACAACGAAATGTCTTAATCTCAAAACCATTTGCACCATTACAATTTCACATTGATCCAATATATTTCATAAACGCAGCAACATTGCTTTGTTGACCCGTTTTACATGGAGCTGCAAAAAGTCAATATAGGTTAGAATTGATCTTCTTCTTGTTCTCATTATCTTTGTCCCAATAATCAACTTGCCGATTCACCAATCTTGGTGCTTTGTCAGAAATCATGTATCATTCATCTCTGTCTGGAATAGTCTTGTTTCAGTATTAGGGTTTTGACGTCACATCATCGCCTCGTTTTCAGAGGTCCGAAAAATCGGGGATTTCAATAATTTTTTATAAAACGTAGGGAGCTCACAGCAAGAAACGGTTTGGGTGAGTTCTATCGAATTATGAAATAAAAAATGTTTGTGATGTAAGCCCATTGGTGACGTTGGCAATCAAATGAATTACAGAGAATGTTTTCAGTCAGTCAGTCCAACTGCGTTCAATTCTCATTAGATTTATATAAATTAATATTGGTACTCAAATACAATTCTATGTTTTCTATTAGATATTTTCACTAAATGAAGTTCTTCCACTTTCCCAGCTCCCAACTGATTCATAATGAATAGGTATCATCGCTATACCTTTCGTGCGCTCCAAGCGATAAAAAAAATACCTACCTCAAATGGTAGGTATGTACATACATACACCCTATCCTTGTACCATTTGAGGAAAAACACATGCAGGATTGAGAAACCATCAGATTCATCAAAACTTTGTGAATATTTACCTTAAATTGTGCGAGGGATCAGCACAATATAAAGTGATTATTTATAAATATATTATGGATTAAAAAGTCCTCTGAAAGTCGTGCAAATATTCATTCCTGAATGTGTTAACTTTTTGCAAATTTTTGGGTGTATGTAACGCGAAGGGCCGGTGTTGAAATGGCAACAAAATAATTGGGTATGGACCTGGATTAACAAAACATTGATTTCATTTTGTGTTAAATTTTACTCAAAATTTTTTACCCTGAGTATCGAAATTCTCCAGTCACAAGAGTTTTATTTTCTATAGGGATTCATGGTTAAAATGGAATATTTTGGATTTTCCATGTTCAATTTTCAAGGTTTCAAGATTCTTCAGTATGTTACAAGAGAAAATGTCAAAATGACTGCTTTTCAACTGGGAGAATCATATCGAATCACTGCAGTTCTAGTATACTCTTAACATTGTACCATGCTAACTTCCATTCACACCTTCGATACGGTATCCTCAACTGGGGTATGAGTGCTTCTATCCAAAGGATATTTCTCCTCCAGAAATATGCTGTTAGAATAATAGCTAAGCTAGGTTACCGAGATTCATGCAGATTTGCTTTTGAACAGCTAAAAATTCTTACAGTTGCCAGCACTTATATACTAGAGGCTAGTGCATACGTTTACAAAAATAAATCCAATTTTCAGTCCTCTCGTCCAAAACATAACCACAATACTCGTTCTAAAGATCTAATATTACCAAACGCTCATAGAACATCTTTGTTTGAAAAAAGCGTAGAGTACAGTGGGTGTAAATTATACAATATGCTTCCAATGCATCTTAAGAATTCCCCAAATATTAATGTATTTAAAAATCAGCTGAAAAAAATGCTACTTCAAAGGACTTGTTACACCATTCAAGAGTTCACCAATCAACTAACCTGAGATCTTCAGCTTTAGCAATTGTGTGTTGTTTATATTATATTGACTTTTCAGTTTGTTTGTGTTATTTGTGTTGTATATATTACTTGACTGACTTTTAGAATATGTTACATGGTAATTATTTACATTTATACGTTATTTATATTTACTTTTAGACTTTTGACATTTTCTTTGTTTATTGTGCATTGATTTTTTTTTTCAA